TAATAAAATAATTTGAAGGGAGGTTGATAAAAATAAAAGATTGGAAAAATCAATAAATATGTTTTGGGGGTAGTAAAAATTAAGTTTTAAAGATAAAGACAGTGTTTGAGTATTTAAAATTTTTATTCTTTAAATTGATACTATCTAAATTACAAAATATGCTCTTTAAAAATAAAGAATCTATTGGAGATGTTATTATATTTTCATATTTCTTTTTGAAGAGCATTATGTTTTATATTATCCTGAAATATTGAAATTGTATTGTCTTTTTTTTTTTTGTTTTTTTGATATGAAGAAATTGTATTGTCATGTTATTGAGGAGCAAGTAATACTTTTAGAATATTATGCCACTTCAAGAGTAAAATCATATTATTATTTAGAATAATAAATTATATGAGGTTTTACAGGAACAAAAACATATATGTTGTATCTTGTAAAATCAAATTTTTAATATATTTGGATAAAGTTGATGAAATCTATGGTTGAAAAGTTGTGGGTTCCATGTAATGTATAGTTAAAATTAATTGCTAACTTTGACTTAATACGTCAATCCTCGCATAAGAAAGTTCTAACAAGGAGTAAAATAATTCATTTAAATGTATTTACTAATGGAAGAGATCAACAATATCTCATACACCAACTTTAAATTTGTCAACTCTAATTGATGTCATGGGAGGATAATTCTTTAATATTATATTTGACAAATATGTGACATGTCTGAAGCTTGATTACATTCGATTCTATGATAAAATTTTCCAAAAGAAAATGGAGCAAATAAGGAAAATAGCTTTATTTAGGAGGCATACACTCTTGGAGGATATAACGTGGAGATATATTGATAAGTTGTCATTATAAGAAAGAAATAGAATACAAAAGAATTGAAAAATTATTTTGATGACGTGTTATAAAATTAAAGGAACGAAAGAAATAAGAGAGATGAAATAGAGAGCGTCAAAACTCAAGCTTGTAATCCATTACAAACCAAAGTCCTGTATTTACATGGTTCAAAATTAGATTTTCAATCAAAGTATAATATAACCATCAACAAAAGTTGATGTGCTCATATGTCGCATGTTTCCATTGTCCTCATAGCCACCACAATCGATGCCTATAACCATCAACAACCACCTCCGCAACACAAAGACCACCTACACCACAATCATGTGGCCCAAACACCAACTCACCACCACCAACACAATTGAAATGAGGAACCAAAGATCCAAACCAAACACAATCCTTACGACCCAACCTGACCTTCACCCAACGAATACCAATGCCATTCTCTACCACCCATAATCACCAATCCCATACAAATGTGGATTGCATTAAAAAACTGTCACATGAGTTAAAATAAATAATATCTACAAAGTCCATCTCTAGTGCAACATATCTGAGACTATGTTCATATTAATTATTCGTTTTTCATTTATAAGGATTTGGTTAGTTATGAGTTGTTTAATTGTTGATTGTTTCATTGAATTACCTTCATTATTCATATTGCATTATAACATTAAAAAAAAAACTAAATATATGCCAAAATTTTGAACCATATTCTAAATAAAATAGTAAGAAAAATCCTGCAACTTAGTGACTTCACACTTGACACTTCCCGCCCACAAATTAAAGAATTCTTGACAAGGTTCAAAATTCAGACAACCAAACAACAGCAACCTCGTACCAAACAAAATGGAGAAGAACAAGTTGTAACATATATAATTCAATTAAGTTATTTGGGGCTCGGTTGAGTTACGGTGATACGTGTCAGCACATGAGTGGCTCTTTTTTTTTTTTTTTTTTTCAAATTGTTCAATAAATGTTTGATACGTGTCAACTATTTTTAAATCCTGTCAAATGCCCCTGTTTGTGTAGAAAGACTATATAATTCGCCAGCCACAACTGTCTCCACTAACCAATCTCTCTTAGTCCATGTTTGATATAGCTAAAAAATCTGATTAAAATCTAAGTGAAAGTCAACAATAAATTTTAATCACACATTTTATAGAACTCACAACTTTTCAACCACACATTTCATCAACTTATATCAAAATCTGATTTTAATCTCTCGGGCTAATAACTATAATGTTAATGTTAATTTTATTTTTATTTTTTAATTCTTTCCTTTTTTTTTTTTTTTACCTTTAATTTGATGGGCGGCCAAATAAATTATTTGAAATTTGAAGAAAAACTTGAATATAGTCTTCACCTTTTCTTAATTTTCGACATTTGTTATGTCAGTGTCACTTAACGATCGGATCAATTACTTTGTTATGTTTGTACATTTTGTAACTTTTGCATTTTTTGTCGTCAATATGATACACATATCTTTAATCGTGATTTTTACTAAAATTTGGAGTTTGTATTTTTCTTCTGATTAAAATTTAATATTGTTCTCTAGTTTATTAGTAATTCGTGTAAACTTGTCAATGATAATTACATTTTCAAATCAAACTTATAACATGGTATAATGCGATGTATATTTTTTTGAAGGTATAGTTCGTTATAATGAATGCGACAGCAATTAATACGAATATAGCTAAAATTTCAAACTCGTGTGTAACAAATGGCCAGATTATTTGATTTGATTTTCAAATGGCCAGATTATTTTTTTGTATTCAATTGCATTATACAAAATCAATGAAATCCCAGCCTCCTCTTCTTTTTCTTTATTTCTTTGGATTTTTAACAACTTTCATCTTTTGTCAAACATTTTGCACAACAAATTCTTCATTCACAAAATGGAGAGATTTGATTGAAGATATATCTTTTTACAATTTTAAGAAAGAAAAATAAATTAAAATTTAATATATTTAGCAACTATAATTCTACCATGCTTTCTTAAATTTCATTTATCCAGTAATAAATGACCTAGGTATTCGAAATAAAAGATTTTTAAGCTAAACATAGCTTAGCTTGTTGGTCTCATGGTATTCAGATTTTACTTGGTGTGTTTGAGCCACATTATTTTGGAAGAATGTATTTTGGAATAGTAGATTGATAGAGAATGTGTGGTTGTAAAAGAAGGAAAAGTTATTGATGTGATGTAAAATATTATTTTATTGAAAAATGTGTGGTTGAAATTTTCATTCTTATTCTTCTACTATAAGGTTAGAGCAACACATATCTACATATTTTCGAAGAAAAACAACTAAAAGAACTCCTTCCAAACACGACCAAACATCGTCAAAATTTTTGTAAACGATTTAAGAATATTCTCCATTTCGAGGTTGTAAGATTTTCAAACTAGTACTATCCTAAATAAGCAATTAGTCTCTCCTTATTCAAACCCAACCCCAACAAGAAAAAGCTTGCAAATGGCAGTGTGTTTTGGACAAGGATAACTTATTTTATTTAATACATAGTACTTTGTCGAATTGGGTAATAACTCTTAATCGAGGAAAATATTTTGAAAATCTTTCAAGATGTGGGCAGCACTTTAAGAGAGATTCCTCCTCATTTCCATTCTTGTTTTGCCTTTTCAGTTTTCGAAATATTATTGGATACAAGTAAAATAGTTTATCCTCTGGGAATCACAAATTAGTTTTATATAATTTAAATTGTACTTTAAGATTCAAAATAAATAAATAAAAATACGAAATCGAAAGACAGCTTGCAAATTAATGGTCCTCATACTAGTTTAGAATACGAGGTTTGGATTCCAACATTAAAAATTTTGTTATTAAAATAAAATTTTCGGGAGTGTGGTTTGTTAATATTATATATTAAAATTTGTAGGCATAATTGAAATCTCAATAATGGAGGGAATTATTATTATTATTTATTAAATTAAGATAATATTCAATATTTGCAGGCAAGTAGAAATTTAGCAAATAAAAAGTTAGGTTCTTATCGTATTAATTATAAATATCTCAGAAATGTAAAAGAAAGCACCAATGCAAGCCACCCAGTAAGCTTTAAGTTGTCACTCGTGAATCATGACGTGGGCACAGCCAAATTTAGAAAGATTAGGGCGATTTTTCTGGGACAATTATTCAAAGAACTTTAATTAATCGAATTTTTTAAATTTGTAAAAGGCAAACCCCAAACATATGGCAAAACCCTCAAGGTATTATCCCTCCAACTGTCAATGATCTATACGTTAGACAGCAACATCGAATTTCTAAGTATTTTCAACCACTTTCACAAACCCTTTGTCCAATCAGAATAATTTGTTTACTCCTAGGAACCCATGAATATGAAAATCTCTGAGTAAAATTATTGCAACACTCTCTTTCTATACGTTGATACGTGTCGATCACTCTCTTTTCATACGTTGATACGTGTCGATCACTCTCTTTCTATACGTTGATACATGTCGATACTTGACTTGTTAAGTACGTTGATTTGAACAAAATAATCGATAGCTCTGATAAATTGGCCAAGTAAAAATTTTATTATTAAAATTTTCGGGAATGTGGTTTGTTAATATTATATAAAGTCACATTGATTCCACCAAACCATTTTTAGATGTAACAAACAGCTCCATGTTTTCTTCAACAAAGAGGTTTCAACTTTCTTGAAAACCATTTTCTGCTTTTCATATAAAGCTGAAAACAGTTCCAAAAATCTTCCTTCTGAAAAGAACTTCTAGCTTTTGTTTCTCTCTCAAATTAGTAAGCTCTATTTGAGTGATTTCCCTTTAGTATTTTCATCTCATTTTTTTCTCCTTTTGACAAAAATCTAAAAAAAATGTGATTTCATTTGAGCTTTATTAGGTTTAAAACTTTACATTTTAGATTTATTGAAGAAAAAATTATCGCTATAATTAGAAGGTTTAAAGCTTTCTATATTAGAGTTATCGAAGATCAAACGAGTGTTAGTACTTATTGTCTAGAAGAAATCGAATTTTTTTTTTTTTTTTGGAAATTTTGACTTTTTCCTGTAGTCTTTTAGTCGACCCCAATTTATTGGGAATAGGGCTTTTTGTTTTTCTAATTATGTAACTAGTACTTGTTGGTACATCTAGCAGAAAAAAGAAGGAACCCTAAATTTTTCAAGAAGATATGGGGAGAGGAAAGATTGTTATTCGTAGGATTAACAATTCGACTAGCAGGCAAGTAACTTTCTCAAAGAGAAGAAGTGGATTGCTGAAGAAGGCTAGAGAGCTATCAATTCTTTGTGATGCAGAAGTTGGACTGATTGTTTTCTCCAGCACTGGAAGGCTTTATGATTATTCAAGTACAAGGTTTGATAATTACTTCCATTAATCTATTTTTTTCTTCGAAATATACATATTTATATCGTTCGTGCTAAAGGTTAAACGGGCCCTTTATGCAATATATCAAATCATCTAGTGCGTGTGTGCATGCGTGCGCGTGTTCTTCGTGTGTTATTTTCATTGATCTAAGTTCAGTGGCATGTTTGTTCTTGGTATGAGCACAAAAAGTTTAGAAATCGGGAAAAAAAAAAATAATCAGAGTTTAATTTTTAAAATTGCTTTTCTCAGAAATGAAGATTATTTGATTTCAACTCACAAGACTTGATTTTAAAATTGTAACCTAAAAAAATATTTTTTTTTTTTGTGCCATAAACCACTACATGAATCCAGAAAGATAAGATCTTATATTTTTGAAAAATAAAAACAAGAGATATTCAAGGGATATGATGATGATCCAACAAAAAAACCAAAAAAAAAAACAAGTAATGAAACTTATGTTTATCAATCTTCAATCAATTTGTAATAGTCATCACCTAACTATGGCAATAACTATATGGAATAATCTTTAATTTTTTTTTCTTTTGTGTTATCAGCATGAAATCTGTAATTGAAAGGTACAACAAACAGAAAGAAGAGCAATACCTACTGCTAAATCCTACTTCAGAGATCAAGGTACTTCTCATCAGTAAAGAATTACCTAATCTCTTTGCTTCATTAATATATGCAATGATCTCAGCAGCATTAAATGGTGAATAATATGTGAAAACTCCAACCAATCCTTTTTGTGTTTACTTTTCTAACATTTGAGTTCAGTTAAATCACATTTGGCAATAAATTATTGTCACATAGATCGATGGTCTAGACTCTACATGCATATTGCTCTTTGTTTTTGGTGTGTTGTGCTGTAAGAGTGAAATATTTGCTTTCTTGGAGTGCTATGATAGCATGTTATGCGAAAAATGGGAGGCCATTTGCAAGGAGTAGACTGAATGCTTGACATAGTATCAGTGAGACCTTTTATGATATTTGATCATTATTATTTATTACAGAGTAGAAACCCAAAATTGATGAATGAAATCTCTAATCTTATTCAATTGAGAATGGCGAGTTTTCACAGTATAAATAGCAACAAGAGAAGAGGGAAAAATAGGCGGGAAAAACAGTTGGCAATATAACAAACTAAACAAACTAGATTCCCTGCCAGCTGGAGCATATTGTCGACTTTAATACTCCCCCTCAAGATGGATGGTGGAGATCAATAACAGCCATCTTGGAGAGCAAAGGAAATAAAGAAGTCGCAGGTAATGGCTTGGTAAAAATGTCTGCAAGTTGGTGATGAGTCCGGACAGGTAGTAACTTGATAAAACCAGCATTGATCCTGTCTCTGATGAAATGGCAGTCGATCTCAATATGTTTGGTCCGTTCATGGAAGATGGGATTTGTAGCAATGTGGACAGCAGCTTGGTTATCACAGAATATCAAAGCCGGAATTTTGGAATCAATATGAAGATCATGAAGCAGCTGGTGTATCCAAATTAACTCGCTAGCTGTTGAAGCCAATGCACGGTATTCAGCTTCAGCAGACGACCTGGATACCGTGCTCTGTTTCTTAGCTTTCCACGAAACCATAGAATCTCCAAGGAACACACAAAAACCAGTAACTGATTTTCTGGAATCCAAGCAAGAACCCCAGTCTGCATCAGCAAAGGCTCGTAATTGTAAGGAAGAATCAGCAGAAAATAAGAGTCCTTGACCTGGAGAACCTTTGATGTATTGTAACAAATGATGAACAGCCATTAAATGAGGTTTTCTAGGCTGGGATACAAACTGACTAAGCTTGTGCACAGCAAACGTAATGTCTGGCCTTGAAATGGTAAGGTAAAGAAGCCTCCCAATGAGCCTTCGATATGAGGTACTATCATCCAATAACTCCCCCTCAAAGGAGCACAGGCGAACTTTGGGATCCATAGGCAAAGTCGCAGGTTTAGAAGCAAGAAAGCCAGTGTCTTCAAGCAACTGAAGAGCATAATGCCGTTGTGACAGAACAATGCCTTTATGAGATCTGGCAATCTCTAAACCAAGGAAATACTTGAGTTTTCCCAGATCCTTCAACCGAAAACGTTGGTGTAAGAACAATTTCAGATCATTGATAACCTCCAAATTCGAGCCAGTGATGACTATGTCATCAACATAAACAAGTAAAGCAACAAAGTCTGCCCCAAAGCCTTTGATAAACAAAGAATAATCTGATTTTGACTGACTGAAACCATTAAGCAAAAGAGCATTAGAAAATTTCGAGAACCATTGTCTCGAAGCCTGCTTCAACCCATAAATCGACTTATGTAATTTGCAAACCAAACGCTCCCCCTGTTGGGGAGAAGAACTGGAATTCATATAGCCCAATGGTAGATCCATGTAAATTTCCTCAAACAAATCGCCATGAAGGAAGGCGTTATTGACGTCTAACTGAACAATGTGCCACTTGTTGATGGCAGCAACAGCCAATAAAAGCTTCACAGTAACTAATTTGGCAACAGGAGAGTAGGTTTCCAAGAAATCAAGACCCTCCTGCTGGGTATACCCTTTCGCCACCAATCGAGCTTTGTACCTGTCGATAGTACCATCAGATTTATACTTGATCTTGTATACCCATTTGCATCCAATGGAATGCTTGCCTTTGGGTAGACTAATGACAGTCCAAGTGTTGTTCTGTTCCATAGCAGTCAACTCAGCAGCCATAGCATCCTTCCAGTGAACATGTTGCACAGCTTGATTGTAATGTTGAGGTTCAGAATTGGAGGATATATTGAGTAGAAAATGACTATGAGAATCGGAGAGTTTATCATAAGCAAGGTAATTGCTTATGGGATAAGGAAGGGAAGGATTATCAGACTGAAAAACGCTATGGGATAAGAGATTACAATGAAAATCCTGTAGGTAAGAAGGAGGTTTATTTTGGCGTAGGGATCTCCTGATAGTCGGGGGGACAGGAATATCAGCAGGAGAAGTAGTGTCAATCTGAGATGAAGAGGTATGATGACTCTGAGGAGATAAAGTAGTGGTATGATCTGATTCAATAGAATGACTGGGACTTTGACGAATGAGAGGAAAAGACTGAAAGGTTGGAGCATCTGATGGTATATCAGAAGCAGGATATGGAAGAACAACATGAGGAAACTGATCAACAAAATCAGAAGACTTAGATAAAGAATGAAAAGGAAAAATATCTTCATGAAAGGTGACATCTCTAGAAATGAAAATTGATTTAGACAGAATGTCATACAACCTATACCCCTTAATGCCAGGGTGATATCCAATGAAGACACAGGCCTTAGCCCGTGGATGAAATTTCAGTCAATGGGAAGCAAGAGTGGAAGCAAAACAAAGGGTTCTAAACACCCTCATAAATCTGTAATCGACAGGAGAATTGTAAAGCAAGGTGAATGAGGTTTGATTGTGCAAGATTGGAGAGGGAATACGATTGATTAAGTAGGTGGCAGTAAGAATGCAATCTCCCCATAAAGATACAGGAATCTGTGCTTGGAAAAACAATGCTCTAGCCACATTGAGAAGGTGCTGATGTTTTCGTTCAACAACGGAGTTTTGCTCAGGGCAACCAACACAAGAAAGCTGATGAAGTACGCCCTTTGAACCAAGTTCAACAACGGAGTTTTGCTCAGGGCAACCAACACAAGAAATCTGATGAAGTACGCCCTTTGAACCAAAAAACTCTTTGAATTGTAACTCAGGAGCATTATCAGATCTAAAAACCTTAATAACTTTGTTGAACTGTGTCTCAATAAGGCTGAAAAATTTTGGAATGATAGTATGAACATCTGATTTGTTCCTCATTAGATAAACCCATGTAAACCTCGTGCAATCATCAACCAAAGTAAGAAAGAATCTGTATCCATCACGTGTTGGAGAATTATAGGGGCCCCAAGTGTCACAGTGAACAAGATCAAAAGGATTCGAAGACAGATGATTATTGGATATAAAAGACAATCTACGTTGCTTAGCCAAAGGACAAATGTAACATATTGAACTACATTTATCATTCTTAAAATTGAGTTGATCTCTCAAAACCTCCAACCTTCGATATGACAAATGACCAAGACGATTATGCCAAATATGTTGAGGCACATTATTCATAATAGAAAAAACGGGATTACAGACTCCATCAAAAAAATTACATTCATCTGACATGCCATTGCCTACTACATTAAGAGCATCAAGTATATAAAGACCACCAACTCTCTTAGCTCTGCCAATCATCTTCGAGCTGCAAGTGTCCTGAAGATGACAATTATCAGTGAAAAATTTAACACTGATGTTGGAACTCCTTGTTAGAGAACTGATGGATAACAGATTGAACTTAAACTGTGGTACATATAATACATTCTGAAGGATCAATTCTGCAGTTAACTTCACAGATCCAATTAATTGCACTGGTATTTTGACATCATTAGGTAATGTGATGAAAACATTACTCACAGCCTCCAATGTTTGAAAACTTCCATAATCGGAACAAACATGACTGGTAGCACCTGAATCTAATACCCAGTGTGTAGGAGAACTGATAACTTGATTAATGGAAATAGTGAGACAAGTACCTGACTCATGTCCAGAGGTAGTCCCCTCATCCTGTGTTTTAGCATCTGAGAGATGTGTACTCAGCAGACTCATTAGGTGTTGGTATTGATCAGGATTCAATTTTTGCACAAAGCTTCCAACGTTTCCAACAGCTTTATCTGGAACAGAATTAGAGACTTGATTAGCAATGACATTATTAGAATGAGCATTATAACCTGTCTGATTGCTTTCACTGGATTCAATCTGATTAGCAGAGTGTGGCTTTGGCTTTGATTTGAATCCTGGCGGAAATCCATGAAGTTTGTAGCATCTATCAACTACATGACCTACACCTCCACAATAGGTGCAAATAGGCCTCTCTTTCTTCTGATACCGACCATAGTTATACCCCATATTAGTCCTTTTGACATCATTTTTAGCAAAGAAAGCCATAGAATCACCAACAGTGGTGGTAACATTTATAGATCGTTGATGTTCCTCCACTCATTAATCTCTTTTTTGAAACATGATTGGTGGAATAGGATCCATAAGCAACAATTGGCCTCTAACTTGAGCATACGAATCATTTAATCCCATCAAAAAAGACATCACATACTCCATGTGATAGTGTTCAGCCAGTTTCTTATTACCTCCACAATCACACTTACCACATGAGCATGTTGGGCGATAATTGCTAAGCTCTTCCCAAATGGTTTTCAGCTTAGTGAAATATGCATTAACTGATAGCTGACCTTGCATATGATTCATTAGATCTCTTCGCAATTGGAAGATTCTAGGACCGTTCCTCTGCTGAAATCGTTCTTTCAAATCAAGCCAAATCTCTTGAGCAGATTCTGAGTAAATGATGCTCGCTGAGATGTCCTTCGAAACAGAATTTAGGATCCACGAAATGACAATGTTGTTATTTCTAACCCAAGAGCGGAGAAGATCTGTATTTTCTTCAGGCTTAAGCACAGATCCATTGAACAAAAGAGGCTAGGGTTTTATTGATTCTGCATAATGTAATTGAATGAATAAAACCTAGATACCAAGAGACTATATATAGTCTAGAATAAAGAAAATTTAAAAGACTATTCTACCATTAATAAATAATAAAAACAAAATAACCATATATTTCTTAACAAATGTAACCGTCGAAAAACAAGGGCAAGGATGTTTGGCCATATTTAAAAGGTTAGAGCAACACAAATCTACATATTTTCGAAGAAAAACAACTAGAAGAACTCCTTCCAAACACAACTAAACATCGTCAAAACTTTTGAAACTACTCAAACGATTTAAGAATATTCTCCATTTTGAGGTTGTAAGATTTTCAATCTAGTACTACCCTAAATAAGCAATTATTCTCTCCTTTATTCAAACCCAACAAGAAAAAGCTTGCAAATGGCAGTGTGTTTTGGACAAGGATAACTTATTTTATTTAATACATAGTACTTTGTCGAATTGGGTAATGACTATTAATCGAGGAAAATATTTTGAAAGTCTTTCAAGATATGGGCAGCACTTTAAGAGATTCCTCCTCATTTCCATTCTTGTTTTGCCTTTTCAGCGGTCGAAATATTATTGGATACAAATAAAATAGTTTATCCTTTGGGAATCACAAATTAGTTTTATATAATTTAAATTGTACTTCAAGATTCAAAATAAATAAATAAAAACACGAAAGACAGAACTGTCCTCGTACTATTTTAGAATACCAGGTTTGGATTCCAACATTAATATTTGCTGATATATTTATTTAGCCTGTCTTTAAGGAAAAGTGACATTATGTAACTGGCTTGTAATTACATCCATAGCCGGACCCCAAAACTGTAACAAATTGGCCATCAAAAGGTACTTCGAATTTTAAATATAATATGATTTTGTTTGTATCAAAATTGCAGAGATTAGGTTTTGTAGTTATTCTCTTGCCATGCATTGTTATTTTTGGTCAAAAAATAACAATTAAATTTTGTTAGAATGGCAAAATTAGGACATATTATATATCACGCGAGTGAAAAATAAATATTTTTTTCGGAGAATTTAATGAAAATGATAAAAAGAAGTCAGATTGTTTCTTTTTGTTATGATAAAGAAGACAAATTTTATATATTTAGGATCTGTTTGATTGCAAGAGTGGAATTTAGGTGGAAAGAAAATAAATTCCAATGAATTGACTTGCCTATAATTGTTTTCCTGAAAATTTTCAATTAATTGTGTTTGATTAGTATAATTTTTCACGTGGAAAATATTGAAATTTTGGATCTTTTGATATTCAGTTGGCTTTGTTTTACATGAAAATTGTTCATTAAATGATAGGATTTCTTACAATTGGGGATAAAATTTGTTTTCATTACCAAAAAAAAAAGAGTAGCATGAAAAACCAAATCCCACCAAATTGGTGGGAATTGATTTTCCTCAAAACCATGGAATTGAAACCGTGCGAGGCAAAAGATAGAAATTGAACCAAGAAAATTTTCCCAATCATACATGACTTTTGATGAAAGATAGAATTTCATTTTCAAGTTCCATGAAAAAATTGCCAAATCATACAGGTCTTAAGGAAAATGGAAACTAGCTTGAAAAGGTCAAAATAGCATAGAATTTGTTGGCATAATTGAAATCTCAATAATGGAGGGAATTATTATTATTAATTTATTAAATTAAGATAATGTTCAATATTTGCAGGCAAGTAGAAATTTAGCAAATAAAAAGTTAGGTTCTTATTGTATTAATTATAAATATCTCAGAAATGTAAAAGAAAGCTCCAATGCAAGCCACCAAGCTTGCTTTAAGTTGTCACTCGTGAATCATGACGTGGGCATAGCCAAATTTAGAAAGATTAGGGCGATTTTTCTGGGACAATTATTCAATGAACTTTAATTAATCGAAATTTTTTAAATTCGTAAAAGGCAAACCCCAAACATATGGCAAAACCCTCAAGGCATTATCCCTCCAACTGTCAATGATCTATACGTTAGACAGCAACATCGAATTTCTAAGTATTTTCTACCACTTTCACAAACCCTTTGTCCAATCAGAATAATTTGTTTACTCCTAGGAACCATGAATATGAAAATCTCGAGTAAAATTATTGCAACACTCTCTTTCTATACGTTGATACGTGTCGATCACTCTCTTTCTATACGTCGATACTTGACTTGTTAAGTACGTTGATTTGAACAAAATAATTGATAGCTCTGATAAATCAGCCGAGTAAAAATTTTATTATTAAATTTTTCACGAGTGTGGTTTGTTAATATTATATAAAGTCACATTGGTTCCACCAAACCATTTTTAGATGTAACAAACAGCTCCATGTTTTCTTCAACAAAGAGGTTTCAACTTTCTTGAAAACCATTTTCTGCTTTTCATATAAAGCTGAAAACAGTTCCAAAAATCTTCCTTCTGAAAAGAACTTCTAGTTTTTGTTTCTCTCTCAGATTAGTAAGCTCTATTTGAGTGATTTCCCTTTACTATTTTCATCTCATTTTTTTCTCCTTTTGACAAAAATCTAAAAAAAATGTGATTTCATTTGAGCTTTATTAGGTTTAGAACTTTACATTTTAGAATTATTGAAGAAAAAATTATCGCTATAATTAGAAGGTTTAAAGCTTTCTATATTATCGAAGATCAAACGAGTGTTAGTACTTATTGTCTAGAAGAAATCGAAATTTTTTTTTTTTTGGAAATTTTGACTTTTTCCTGTAGTCTTTTAGTCGACCCCAATTTATTGGGAATAGGGCTTTTTGTTTTTATAATTATGTAACTACTACTTGTTGGTACATCTAGCAGAAAAAAGAAGGAACCCTAAATTTTTCAAGAAGATATGGGGAGAGGAAAGATTGTTATTCGTAGGATTGACAATTCGACTAGCAGGCAAGTAACTTTCTCAAAGAGAAGAAGTGGATTGCTGAAGAAGGCTAGAGAGCTATCAATTCTTTGTGATGCAGAAGTTGGACTGATTGTTTTCTCCAGCACTGGAAGGCTTTATGATTATTCAAGTACTAGGTTTGATAATTACTTCCATTAATCTATTTTTTTCTTCAAAATATACATACTTATATCGTTCATGCTAAAGGTTAAACAGGCCCTTTATGCAATATATCAAATCATCTAGTGCGTGTGTGCATGCGTGCGCGTGTTCTTCGTGTGTTATTTTCATTGATCTAAGTTCAGTGGCATGTTTGTTCTTGGTATGAGCACAAAAAGTTTAGAAATCGGGAAAAAAAAATAAAATCAGAGTTTAATTTTTAAAATTGCTTTTCTCAGAAATGAAGATTATTTGATTTCAACTCACAAGACTTAATTTTAAAATTGTAATCTAAAAAAATATTTTTTTGTGCCATAAACCACTATATGAATCCAGAAAGATAAGATCTTATAATTTTAAAAAATAAAAACAAGTCTCATATTCAAGGGATATGATGATGATCCAACAAAAAAACCAAAAAAAAAAACAAGTAATGAAACTTATGTTTATCAATCTTCAATCAATTTGTAATAGTCATCACCTAACTATGGCAATAACTATATGGAATAATCTTTAATTTTTTTTTCTTTTGTGTTATCAGCATGAAATCTGTAATTGAAAGGTACAACAAACAGAAAGAAGAGCAATACCTACTGCTAAATCCTACTTCAGAGATCAAGGTACTTCTCACCAATAAATAATTACCTTATCTCTTTGCTTCATTAATATATGCAATGATCTCAGCAGCATTAAATGGTGAATAATATGTGAAAACTCCATCCAATCCTTTTTGTGTTTACTTTTCTTACATTTGAGTTCAGTTAAATCACATTTGGCAATAAATTATTGTCACATAGATCGATGATGATCTAGACTCTACATGCATATTGCTCTTTGTTTTAGGTGTGTTGTGCTGTAAGAGTGAAATATTTGGTTTCTTGGAGTGCTATGATAGCATGTTATGCGAAAAATGGGAGGCCGCTTGCAAGGAGTAGACTGAATGCTTGACATAGTATCAGTGAGACCTTTTATGTTATTTGATCATTATTATTTGAGCGACCCAACTCATGGACTTGAGGCAGCCCTCAACATGACGCTCTTGTGACATGAACCCCGTCACTTAGCTTTGATACCAATTGTTAAGGACAATTTCAATTGGTGTTTAGTGAGGGTATGCTAAACTTTTTATGGCATTTGATTACCATCATTTGAGTGACCCAATTCATAAGCTTAAGAGCAATCTTATTGCATTCCAACACTTATAATCATGCCAAGGTGTCAGAAGTATATTGTGATTTGTTATAGGGGGGGATAAGCAGTGTTTGTGTAAGTGTGCCTAGTTAGAGGTCCCAAGATCAACTCTGAGACAAAAATATACATGGTCACACAAGTAATGTGAACAGATAACTAATGCTGATGATTTAATATGCAGCAAAGATGTCAATGATGAAACATTAAAGTTCACGAGAGAGGAGCGATTTGGACCACTGGAAGCTTCTTGAGTTCATGCCTAAAACCTACTCTGAATATCCTTTGGCTCAAAACTGAGCAAAAACTCAGCAATATGAATTTCCAATCTCAAACTTATTGATTCTTTCAAATCTACCTGAAAGCCGGAGATAATTATTTCCACTTCTTTTAGGAAATAGCTAGGTTTTCGTAGGAATCCAACCAAAACAATTAATTCATGTGTGTGACCTGAAGTTTCCACTTGGGAAATAGCTAGATTTCAAAAGCTAACATCATGATGACCGTTGAAAGAGTTTGGAAGTTGTTTATAATTGGTTTAAATTATAAATAAATAGAAACGGGTGATAGATAAGTGTGGATGTGAATCCTACAAAATATATGAATAAAAATTGATTTTACAAATTATAAGCAAATTAAAAATAGGTGCCAAACAAGGGCTAATCTCTAGTAGGCAATGAAATATCTCTTACAAGAATAGCAAAGGATTTTACGAGTATCCATTATAAGGTTTGTGACGTTGGGAATTGAGATCAATTCTTTATTCATCCACAAAATCCTTGTTCTGATAAATATTAAGAATATAGAAATGATATATGGAGAAAAACAAAATTTGTGTGGAAAACTTCAAGATAGGAAAAACTCCATGGACCATCAAGATAAAATTTTTAACTATATGAAAATTGTATAAAATTCTCGCTCACCCAAACCCTCAAATATCGCAAGGAAAAATTATCACTTCAAATTTATGAGACCACCTATTCTACTCTTTGTACAAACTACAATGAGTCCAAGAAAAGATCTAGGATGTTAAAACTTATAACTTTCAATCTTTATCACACAAATCATGTCGATATATAATGGATGATTATGTTATTCTATCAAGTTTGTTTTCATTTCCATTGTTAGATCTTTTTTCCTTCAAACAAAAGATACATTTTTAGTTTGGCTCGTTTTTTTTTTTGGCAATTTTCCAACAATCTCCATCTCGACAAAAATGAGCCAAAACTTTGTCACCTTCTTTGCAACTCTTGATCACCATACTTGAGAAAAAAATGATAAACTTCAGCAGGTGTTTATTTTCTGTTAAATTTCTCCACATCATATTGTGACACCTGGCTTATCTACTCTATGCTATAGCACTCCAAACAATCTGATGATAACGCCCTCATATCCCTATTGGAATTGAGACCAACTCCTCGATTCATCCACATGATCCTTTTACTTCACCCAACTATTCTATTATTTGTACAAACTACAAAGAGAACAGTACAAATTATAAAACGCTAACAATTTTTTCTCTTGGTCACATACCGAATACAAGATAAAACCATGTCGACATAAATGGAATGGACGATTGCAATATTCTGCCAAATTCCAATTGTTAGACCTTTGGGCATCTTTTCCTTTGAACAAAAGATACGATTTACTTTTCTTTTTTCAACTTATCAACATGTGACAGAGTGTAGATTTCTGCTGCAGCAGCAGTTCACTGTTGAATTAATAAGCTAGATTCATTTCTAGACTAATCCATAAATACCTAACTTAGTGCTAGAATATTTTAATGCATCAATTAAAGAGAGAACGTTTATGTCCATTAGTGTTATTCATGTACTTAGGTAGAGGGGAAAGAATGCTATCAAATATTGATATATGTACTACACTAGGTTCAAGTTGGGGAAATCCTATATATGCTCAGGTAATCTGGCCATTTGAAAATCAAATTAAGTTGGAGTGTTAATAGAATCACATATATTTTCTCCACTACTTTTCGTGATTTTGAGTATTGAGTGAACTTATGCTCTCCAATTTTCAACAAATTGGTATTTGTGTTTGGAGATAATCAAAGAAAAGATGATGAATGGAACTCCACTTCAAGTTCCACCACTCACCAAAGAAAATTATGAGAAATTGTGCTTTCGTATGAAGGCTCTGCTTGGAGCCATGATGCTTGGGAACCTGTGGTCCAAGGTATTACAGCAAAAAATGCAGATGCGGCTGCCATGAAGAAAGATGAAAAGGCACTATCTCTCATATATCAAAGTTTAGATGAAAAGATGTTTTGAGAAGGTTGCTAGAGTAACCACTTCCAAGGAAGCATGGGATACTCTTCAAGATTCTTTTAGAGAAGTTGATAGAGTGAAGAAAAGAAGTCTCTAAAGATTAAGAGGAGAACTCGAATCCCTACAAATGAAGGAGTCCGAGCATGTTTCGAATTCTATTTCAAGAGTTTTTGCTATTGTCAACCAAATGAGAAGATATGGGGATGATATGAAGGATGGTCGGGGTCGTTTGAAAAATTCTACAATCCTTAGATCCACGATTCAATTCTATTGCCGTCGCCATTGAGGAGTCCAATGATTTAGACACCATGACCATTGAGGAGCTTGTCAGGCCTTTGCAAGCTTATGAAGAATGATTGAAGAAACTGAAACAAGAATCGGTAGAGCAAACTTTGCAAGCAAAGCTTTTATTGAAAGAGAAGGTGGAAAGAAGTGGCACGTCCCAAAGAGGTTGAGAACGTGGAAGAGGTCATGGTCATGGAAGAGGCGGACGAGGCAGCAACTAACCTTCAAATAATGAGGAGAAAAGCTAAAACTTCAACTGAGGAAGAGGTCGTGGACGAGGCAGAGGAGGATGTTTGAGGCAAAACCAAGGAAGATATGACAAATCAAATGTTGAATGTTATACTAGTCACAAATATGACCATTAATCTTGGGAATGCAAAAATAATGTGGAAGAGGAAAACTTTGTGGAGAGCAAGAATGAAGATGGAGATCCCACTTTGCCTTTCGTTTGCAAAAGTGTTGCAAATGAAGAGAATAATCAGTGGTATCTTAATTCTGACGCAAGTAGTCATATTTGAGGAAAGAAAAAATTATTTATGGAGCTTGCAGAATCCATTGGCGGAAATATCACTTTTAGAGATTCTTCTAAATTTACTATTTAAATCCACTTGAAAGATGGAAGTCATCAATTCATTTCTAATGTGTTTTATGTGCTGGATATGAAAAGTAACATTTTGGATATTCACTTGAAAGACAAAAGTTTGGCTATGAAAGATGAAAATGGGAGATCATTGGCCAAGGTGTCAATGATGAAGAATAGAATGTTTACGCTGGACATTCAACATGATGTCCCTAAATGTTTGAAATCTTGTGCTAAATATTCTTCTTGGTTTCGGCACATGAGATTTGGACATTTGAATTTTGATGGCCTCAAAATAATAAGCAAGGAAAGCATAGTGACGAGAATTTCCAACCATTGACCATCCAAATCAATCTTTTGAAGGATGTCTCTTCGAAAAACAAGCAAGAAAGAGCTCACCTAGAGTCTTTGGTAAGAGCTTAGTGTCCGTTGGAATTGATCCACTCGAATGTTAGTAGACCTATCATTCCCAAGAATGATACTTGGGAATTAACTTCATTACCTAAAGGAAAAATCACAATTAGAGTCAAGTGGGCATACAAGATAAAGAAAAATTATAAAGGCGAGATAGAGAGATATAAAGCAAAATTCGTTGCAAAAGGATACAAGCAAAAAGCTGACATTGACTATGGTAAGGTGTTTGCTCTGATTGCTCGTTTAGAAACAATTCATTTAATTATTTCCAAAACCAATGGAAAATTCATCAAATGGATGTTAAATCCACATTCTTGAATGGATTTTTGGAGGAAGAAGTCTACATTGATCAGCCCTTTGGTTATGTGGTTGAAGGACATGAAAATAAGGTCCTAAAATTGAATAAGGCTCTCTATGGCTTGAAGCAAGTCCCGCGTGCTTGGAATAAGAGAATTGGCAAATATTTCCAAACAAATAACTTCTCCAGTTGTCCACATGAACAAGCACTTTATGTGAAATTGAACAAAAATGATTATAGTTTTCCTGTTTGTTTGTATGTGGGTGACTTAATTTTGACTGGAAATAATCCAAAGATGTTTGAAGAATTCAAGAGAGCTATGGCTAGAGAATTTGAGATGACGGATATTGGATTAATGTCCTACTATCTTGACATTGAGGTGAAATAAAAAGATTATGGAATCTTTCTCTCTCAAGAAGGATATGCAAAAGAAATGCTTAAAATGTTTAAAATGGCGAATTGCAAGCCAGTGAGCACCCCCATTGAATGTGAAGTTAAACTGTCTAAGCAAAAAGATGGAGAGAAGATCAATCCCACATTTTTCAAGAGTCTTGTTGGAAGCTTAAGGTATTTATTTTGTACAAGACTGGATATTCTTTTTGGTATTGGACTTGTAAGTCGCTTTATGGAAGCATCTACTACTTCTCATTTAAAGGTGGCCAAAAGAATACTTTGTTACATTAATGGTATGCTTGACTTTAATACTTTCTATACATCTTCTCAAGACTTCAAGTTTGTTGGCTATTGTGATAGTGATTGAGCTGGTGATATTGATGATCGGAAAAGCACTACTGGGTTTGTTTTCTTTATGGGAAATTTGGCATTTACTTGGATTTCTAAGAAGCAACCTATTGTGACTCTTTCTATGTGTGAAGTGGAGTATGTCGTAGCTACTTCTTGTGTTTGTCATGAAATTTGGCTTAGGAGTTTGATGAGTGAACTTCACCTACCACAAAAAACCCAACAAAGATTTTTGTTGATAATAAGTCCGATCTCGCATTGGCCAAAAACCTGATGTGTCATGAAGAGAGTAAACATATTGATACGAGGTATCATTTTATACGAGAGTGCATATCCAATAAAGAAGTAGAGCTTGAGTTTGTGAAGTCTCAAGACCAAGTTGCTGATATTTTCACCAAGCCCCTAAAGATTGACGTCTTTGAAAAGTTGTGCATGTCCCTTGGTGTGATAAATCAAGTTTAAGAGGGGGTGTTGAATTAATAAACTATATACATTTCTAGACTAATCCATAAATACCTAGATTAGTGCTAGAATATTTTAATGCATGAATTAAAGAGAGTACATGTATGTCCATTGGTGTTATTCATGTACTTAGGTAGAGGAAAAGTATGCAATTAAATATTGATACATGTACTAGACTGGGTTCATTTTGGG